CACACACACACACACACACACACACACACACACACACACGCCAACAATCACACACACACACACACACACACACACACACACTTACAAACACTCGCATACACAAACACATGTGCATACATACATATCCATGCACAGATACACTCTCTCAGTGACTCACACACAGGCACACACATACACACATACGCACACACAGCACACCTGCACACACATAACTGGGGGCCTTGGGGGTTGGGGGATGTGGGGGCGGATAGTTTAGAGGGCTTCTGGGTGGGCTTGGGGACTGGTGCCGAGGGGTTGGTCAGTGGTGGGTGGCAGGCCGGTCGGTGTTGGTCTCATTCGGTGGTATAAGAGGTGCTTCAGGGGTTGGGGGAATGCTTTTTTTTTTTTTTTAGTGGGGGGGTTTGAGTGCCCAGGTGCCTAGGGCCACGTGTTCCAGACCCCGCGCATCAATTCCGTTTTTCCGAAAAGTGCAGGAGCGGCCCATTTTCGCGTTTAACGGGAATTCGACGGGATTTTTTCAGTTTAACGGGGATTCAACGGGAGTTTAATTCCCCCGTTCCCCGTTAAAAAGACACACAGCTTACGGGTAGGTACCACTCTGGTAGGCCTGAGTCTAGAGCCTGCTGGGAGGGGATATCAGACTGTAATAATGTTCCCGCCAAAAGTAGAAGGGTACCCGTAGCTTTGCATGGGTATTCGTGGGTTTTCCACATGGGCTTCTACACACACGGGAAATGTGGGTAAACGAGGGTATTCGTGGGTTTCTAGTAACTTTCTACCGATGTGGGTATACGTGGGTCTCTACCCACACGCACGAAGATGCACTAGTCCGGTATTTCAGTAGAGTTGGCCAATAGTCCAGCCTCATTTGTTGGCATGCAGCTTGGAGGCATGCAGCTTGGAGGCACACTGCTGGAGCAACCGCCCAGCTCAAGCAGCACTGAGTGGAGGAAGGAGGCGGAACTTGGCTCCCACATCAGCTATGAAGGAGGTGACCAAGGCGGAGGTCGGAGAAGGCCTAGATATGGCGGAGGCCTAGGTAGGAGGAAGAGGAAGGAGGGGGAGGGAGGAGGAGAGTGAAGGAGCTTACCTTGGCTATGGTGGTCTTGCATCTTCATCTTCTTGGTTGGCGCTGCACCTGGAAGGCCCAAGTGGCGGGTGATACTTGGAAGGAAGACTCCGGGGGTGGATTGTGGCATGATGGGCATACTGGGAGAGGCAGAGAAACCTCTTTGCACATTGGAGCTAGGCTCCGATGGTCCGCCATAGCTTCCGTCCTAGCCAAGTAGTGGACGAAGGTGTAGGATGGCTATGGTGGACTTCTTGAGTGGGTAGCAGTGAGGGGAGGATTCGGACATTGGTCCTGGCTCATTCATTCATTGTTGTTGTTTATTATTATTATTTCGAAGATGTTGGGGGAGATGCTGGAGGAGGGAGTTGGTGACGAGACGAGGGAGAAGTGAAATTGATTCTTGCTTGTTTTCATCTTCTTCTTTTTCTTCGATTCTCATCTCTTCGTCCTCCTTTGTCTATTTCTCTTCCCAGGATCATAACACACACATGTACGCACACACACATGTACGCACACACACATGCACGTACACACACATGCGATGAGATAGAGACAAAGATGGAGGGAAAGAGAAG